TAAATTCTCTAATGAAATTATTAATTATAATTATTTTCACTTAAAAAATTTTAGATTGTGGGTTGATTAATTATATAAATCACTGCGTAAAAATATTTTTTAATACAAAGTTCTAACCCCTTTGTCAACTTGAGTTAAAAAGATATTTTCTTTAATTTATTTATAACTAAAAAATAATTTAATTAAAAGTATTTTATTGATAAATATTATTAATATAAGAGATAAAATTTTTATAATCTATTGTAATTTCATAAAAGGATTATTTATTTTAAGATGAAAATAATTTTTTAAGCTATTTCTTTTTTCATTTCTTTTATGTCTAATTCTAACTCTTCTAAAATTATCAATCATGTAATAATTATCTCATATAACTTTTGGGTTTTTCTTAGAAAGTCCAAATAATATCTTCAAAAAAAAATTTTTTTAAATAACTACATGCAATTCTCTTCGAGGATCAAAAATTTTTATTCCCTCCACTAAAGTTATTTTATAAATCAAATTATTTCTAAAATGAAGAAAGATTCTCTATTTGTATATTAAATTAATTTTTTTTGATAAAATAAATGAATAAACTAATTAGTCGCAGAGATTTTCTGTAGAATCCATTTATTGATATTAAGAAGAAATTATAAAAATAGAGAATTTATACATTCAAAAATTTAACAGCTTGTATTAGAATATATTGCCATGAATTATTTCCTCAAGAAAGGCTATTAACAAATAAAATAAAATCAACAATAAGTTTTCTATTTAAGTCATTATTTTATAATTTTTATTTTTAGCTACATTTGATAGAAATCTAAAGAAATTCAGATTAGATCATCTCTAAAAAATTGGAAATTAATTTATTTCATTTTATTGATTAATCTTTTTGTTTCATATAAAAAGAATAATAAAAAGAATTATGATATATCAAAAATATAACAACTCTTTAAAATAAAATATTGTAATTTATATTTGATAACTTCATAGTTTCTTAATATTTCATTTATTTATTGCTTTTTCTAATAAATGTGCATTATTCTTGATTACCTCAACTATATCACTTTATAATAAAGAAAATTGAGCTGATAATTCGATATTTGGAAGTTTAGGTAAATCCTTAAATAATGAATCAGGTAATTTATTTAATCCTAAAATAATTTGATTTTATTGACTGATTTCATCAATACAATTTTATGTAGTTATTGTGGACGACTAAATACATCTAGAAAAAATGATAATTCACTTCAAATTGTTGATTTATATCTTTAAATGTAGCTTCAATTTAATTTTGTATAGTCTCATTTGGCTGCATCTTTTTGAATAGAAACTTTTTAAACAAAAATAACTTAATTAATAATTTTAAGAAAAGAAATTATAATCTTTATTTATTAATTATTTGATAGAATAATGTTGAGATATATCAATTTTATGATGGAATCTAATGAAAAGAATATTAATATTCTTACTTTTGTTTTTGTGAAGCCAATTTTCATCAATTTTTTACAAAACTAAGCTTTTTTATTTTTAAAAACTAAAAAATTATTCATTTAATTTGATTTTTCTATAAAATTTTAAAAGCTAGCTTTATTGATCTTAATGCTTAAAAATTTTATCCTCCAATGTACGATTAAATGTTTATTTTCCTTTTATTGGTTGAATAGCTTATATCTTCTTTAAAATATAAATGAATTTATTTATCTCTTAAAATTATAATTTTCTAAAAATAATATTATATTCTCTGTGAACAACAAACATTATCCTTTTTAATTTTTTATTGATTCTCAAAATTATTCAGGTAAACTTCTTCTTTAGTCTGCTCAACTAAGAAGATTTTCATAAAAATTGAGTAATAGCTTATTAGATATTCAAATTGTAGCAATCAATAATAGAAATAAATGATTTATTAGTATGGATACTTTTATTTCCATTCTTTGTTTATGAAATATGAAATATTTGAAATGTCACATCTTTGTCTATAGACTCATATATACTAGGCGATACCTCAAAAACATCTTCTTGTTGAAATATATCCTGTAATTCATCTGTATTGAATATTATTTGGTAAAATGCAGATGCTTATACTTTATATTTTATAAACAATAATTCCTATATGATTTTTTCCTAAATATTTTCAAGTAAAAAGGCTTTCTTATGCTTCATTGATAATTTCAATTCTAACATTGGGTTTTATTACTTCAAGTAGAATTCTAATTCCTATATATTACTTATGAAACTTTGAATTGAAATGTTATCTTAATGCAGAATTAATTATTAATATTATATCATATTTTATAATAAATTAGCTAAAAATAATTCTGTTTACTAAAAGATGAGTATCTAATTATTATTCATATGTGCATATATTCACATCCAGATTCCTTTATTATTTATAATATTTTTGATTCTTATCCATGATATAAAAGGAGCTTTTACTAATATTTTTTTAATTAATTATTTTATTTTATGAATTCTAATTCAAAGAATTTTGATGTATTGAAAGATATGACATGTGAAGTACATTAAGGTAAGAAAGTGACTTCTGTAATGTTCGAATAAAGTAAATCAATAAGTTTATAATAATGTTTCTAATGTGATCAATGTTGTATTAATAACCCCAAACTCCAAAGAATGACATTAGAGAACTTGATAAATTATTGCAATAAAAAAAAAGAATAAAATTTCAATGAGAGACTTTATATTTTATTAGAAATATATAACAAGTCTATAGATAATTTAAAGACGCTTACTTAAAATTTAGAGAAAGAAGTTCTAAATTTGATAAAATAAGTAGATAAATATTTAGATTAAAAACTATTTGATATTTATAAGTTAGTTGCATCGTAAGAATTATACATGCACATCAACCATTAGAGATTGACAGATGACAATGAAGAGCTATTTAAAAAATAAATAAATGAGGATTTTAATAAGTAGATATTACAAAAAATAGAACCATTCAAGGATTTTAATGAATACCCAAAATTTGAAAAAGAATTCGATAATTTTTTATTGAAGTTGAATGAAAAGAAATAATAAGAATAAGGTTTCTAAACAGTTGGTTACCCTATAACTTAACCAGAAGTTTGTTATTCAATAGATTTCAATAATACTAATAATCTTATGATTTCAGGATGTAATAATAATATAAGAGTTTGGGAGTTTAATGCTGGAAAAATGAATTAAATTCATAACATTGAAGCTCATTCAAGTTAAGTCACTTATTTATTATTCAGTAAAATTTAAAATAATTTCATTTCTGGTTCTTCAGAAGGAAGCTTGAAGTGTTGGAGTATTAAAAATAATAAATAATTGGAATCTTCAGATACTTATGAATATCATCCTAAAGGGATAAGCTGTATAATTACGAATAAATCAGAAAATTTGCTTTTCACAGGGGATATGGAATAAAATATCTTAATTTGGGAAGCCAACTTTAGTTTAAAGTAACTACAATTTTTGACTTCATTAGTTTCACACTAAAATCGTATATTTGGATTAAGTTTGAATGAATCAGAAACTATTTTAGCTTCTTGTAGTTATGATAAACAAATCATAATTTGGAGGAAAATATCAAACTAACAATGGTAATTTGAAAGAAATATTAACTAATATTATTCAGAATTTGGAATAAGAATTAAATTTATTAGTAATGATCGATTAATATGGATACCTGGGAGTAGGGAGAGTTAGGATTGTTTATTTGATATTCAACTTGATGATAAAAATGTTTTAAAATAATTATAAAAATAAGAGTTATCTAAGTGTTAAAATACTATTGATGGAGTTTATTTTCCTATTGTTTGTCTGAAGGTTAACGGATAAAATATAATTATTGTCAAACATAAATTAACTATTTATCTATTCAAAGTAACAAAGAAAGGCGATTTAAGTATTGTCGCCTTATGGATATAAAAATCTGCAGATTTCTTTGGAGCAGTCACAAATGATGGATAATATATGGTTATTTGGGAATAATCTGAACAGAGATATTAAATTTATAAAATTGTTATTTGATTAATAATAAAAATTAATAATTTAATATCATTTTTTTATACTTTTTATTTTCTTATACATAAATTGCAAAATAAGATTTTTATAATTAAAATATACACGATTCTTAATTAAATCTTAAAGAACTAATTTTAAAAATTAAATTTATCCATCCATTTAGAAAAAAGAAACTTTTGACAAACTTAAAGAAGAAGAAGAACACGAGCATTAAAAATGTATGTCTTATCAAAATTAAAGAAAAATGGCAATTAGAATTATTTACTTGACGCAAAACGAAATTATTTAAAAAAAAGAATTGATTATCCAAAATACATTTTTGATATTTTTTAGATTTAAAATCAATTTTAGTACTTGCAATAGTCTTCAGATAAACCCTTAAATTCTTAAATTAAATTTAATAAATAATCTCAAAATAAAAATTCAATGCTAGAACTCCATATAGCGTTTACCAATAATTATTAATAAATTTTATGAAAATAAATTAAATCACATAGAAAAAGAATATGATTGATAATTCAGGTAATTAATTAATTAAAATTATTATTACATTGATATTTGTTTGATATTTATTTTGATCCATTTAAAAAGAAATTTATAAATAAAAAATGGGTTCTAAACTATGAAATATAATAATTCTTTCTAAAATTTTGATTAAAAATTATTCAAAAATAATGACTTATTAAAATTAGCATGTTAAATAATCAAGGTTTAAGATATTATAATTCTTAGATTAAGATGTATACTTAAGTTAGTTTAGAAAGAAGACCATTTTAATAATTAAGCAAGAATTTTAATTAATATAGAGTTTTTTAGCATAATTTTCCAAACAGCCATCCTTAAATTTTTGCTACAAAATAAATGACTCTTAAATGGTTTGATTCTGATACATGGGAGATAAAAATAAATAAATTCAAATCAAATTAAAATAAACCTCTTTTTAAATGATGATAGATATTGAAAAATAATTTGTAATAACACCCACTTGAAAAGGATCCCATAATGATGATGGAGAAATAAATTAGCATAATGATAGATTAAAAAAACATTTAAAAGTAATTTAAATTGTTAAATTAAGAAAAATATTTCGAAATTATTGTCCAAATCAATTTTAAGAAAATTTGTCACAAGATTTAATTCAATTTATTCTAAATTTAGAAGATTAAAAAAAAAAAGAATTTTGATCACCTAAAGAACCTAAAAAATAATTTAATAGGAGGTAAATAATTTTTAAATATTCAGAATTAATCTAATAGAAAGCAAGAAGTTGAATCAGCTATCATAAATGTGAAGGATTAGAATTAATAAAGTTTAGTGATACATTATAGAAAGTAATAGATATTTATAAATAAATTATAGAATTTTTCAGATAAAGAATTAGGAAGAGTTTTGGAAAAGAAAATATAAAGTTTAGAATTTTTTAGAGCAGAGAAATATGAAAATAAAAATAATGTTAAGGAATACTTATTAAAATGAAAGGAATATCACATTTCCATTTAGAAGAGATATTATTGTTTTAAAGCATTTTAAAATAAATACAAAAAATGATAAGAATATTTCGTTATTGATTTAAAAAATATTAATTAGATTCATTATTGTTCTCTTTGTTGGACAACTAAATAATTAGGGGTATTAGATAAAAAAAGGATAGCTATTGATATAATTAGAAAAGCTAATTGAATTGCTAATGTAAAGTAACTGATGGTGTCTTTCTAAATTTAGATGTTATAATAACATAGTCAAAATGTACACAATCACCTAAGGCACATTCATTCTGATAATTGCAACAGGAAGTTTAACAAATATAATTAGAGCATTGAACAATTAAAAAAAACATTATTAATAAAATTAATGAAAAATAACTTGATGATATGTAGGTGTCAAAATATTTGAAAATAATACCAATCGAATAATAGTGTATCAAAATATTTCATAGGTTCTAATGAAATGTGATTAATTGATTTTAGAAGATGTTTTTATTTAAACAATATTTAGAGATATGAAAATACAATCAATATAACTCATCAAAAATAAAAGAAGAATTAATGAATTATTATTAATATTAAAAATATCTACTTCTTAGAAATTTTATCCGTCAGAAAACAGTATTAAGAAATAAAAATATTTTATATAATTTTTAGAACAAAAACGTAAGAGTAAATAATAGATAAAAAATTTATATAGAATTATGGTTGATATTATGACTGAGAAATCTTTTATAATAAAGTAAATAAATTGAGGAAATAGAAGAAGAGTTTTAGTTTTTGTATAAAATGTTAAAATATATTAAAGATAAATAATAGTCTGATATTAATAAAAGTCTTATGAAAATTATAGTTAAATGTTTTTAAATAAGGGAGCATGCATAAAAACAATTAAAATAATTTTAGCATGGAAGTATTTTATAAGGTTAATGATAAATAAATATTGAAATAAATGTAATATATATATATAAATTTCGTTTGTTTATTAAAAGGAGCTAGTCAGACACACTCAAGTCTTCACATATTTGTTGACATTAATAGCCATAAAGAATACTAATGAACAACAGATATGGATGGGCATCGCGAATCGCATTCCATGAAATAGAATGGATTCATATTCCTAATTATAGACAAGAGTGCATGCTGAATCATTCTAGCTTGGTTGGTTGCCTACATTTGCTGAAGCAAAGTGTAAGTAACTACTATAGACATGATCCTGTACGAGTACAGTCTTAAGATAATTCATATTTTTTTAGACCTTAAATATAAAACTATTTTTCATATAAATATGGGTTCATATTTAATTATATTAAATGTTAGAAATAATTGAAGTGGTAAATCAAATAAAGAATAAATTGAGTCTTAAAAATGTAATAATTAATTTTAAGATAAAAAGGAGAGTGATTTAATAATATAATCATTTATATTGGGAGTATTGTAAGGGAAGAGCAAAAATCCAAATAATTAAGATTTATTAGAATAAAATTTAGAAATCATTATGAGTTTAAATATGCTAATAGACATCAATTTATATAATCCATAAAGAGTTCAAAAGTTATATAATGATGCTCTATAAGGATCTAAAGATGTATTGCATTATATTTAAATTTAAGTTAAATCAACTTTCAATTTAATTAGAGAAAGAAGTGTTTGAAATAAATGAATATCAATAAGAGAATATAAGTTTCATCTAAAAAGTACCAGAATAAAAATAAAGTAATATATAGTCAAGATTAGTAAAATCTTAATAGAATTAATAATAAGGATAATAAAAATATTAATAATTAGATGTTTACTATTTAGATTCTTAGTTTCTATAACCATAGTAATAATAAATAAATTATGACAATTTTTAAAATGCCTCGATGATATATAATTAATTACGATAGAATAAATCAAATGATGAATCAAAAAGTATAGAATTGGCAATGTAATTGTAAAGATAGTAATTGATTATTTTATATTATGATAGATTTGAAAAAGAGGTGGATGAAGATAAAACGAATTAAATTGAATGTTAAATTTGTCTTGAGAATATACCATTTATTGAGATGGCAACTTTATATTGTTCACACATATTTCATTAAAAATGTTTAAATTAACATTGCACTAATTAAATATAAAGCAGATAATTTCCAATTTTATGTCCTTCTGGATGTAAGAATAACATAATATATACTGATTTAATAGAAGTATTAGATGATCGTTAGTTATTAGAATTTTAATAATTAACATTTAAAGCTTATGTTGAAAGTCACGGAGAAGATGTATATAATTATATTAATAAACAGTATTCTTGGTGTCCAACTCCAGATTGTTAATATGTTTTTATTGCAGGAGATAATTCTTAATTGAATTGTCCAGTTTGTAAGAAATCATATTGTTTGTAATGTAAAATTGAATATCATAATGGATTTTCTTGTAAAGAATATTAAGATAAAAAAAAAATGGAATCTAATTTAAAGAAAGAGAAATTTTTAGATGATAAATTTTTTAGTTTTATTAAAGGTTCTAAATTTAAATAATGTCCTAAATGTAAAATGTGGGTTGAAAAGAGTGAAGGTTGTAATCATATGACTTGTAGATGTAAATTTCAATTTTGTTATGTTTGTGGAGGAGTATATGAGAAATGTGAATGTGTGAAATAAGCTCATGCTAATTGGCCTTCACCTTTTAGAAGAAATAGAAGATGATGAATTATTATATATAATATATATAATAATAGTTATAAAAATATTTTGAATTTAATTATTATTAATATATATATATATACATATAAAAAAGAAAAGATGGCCGAAGAATAATAACCATTCTCATTTACTCCTGAAGGTGGAAGTGCTAGTAATTCAACCAAGGATTATACAGGCAAAGGAATAGCTACGTATTATTATTATGTAATGAAACAGTTATCCAAATGGTGATACATATGAAGGATAATATGTAAATGGAGTTAGAGAAGGAAAGGGCAAATACACTTATAATCCATCAGGAGATAGATATGAAGGAGAATTCCAATAGAATTTGAAACATGGAATTGGAAGATTAATTTACAATAATAATAAAGGAGAATATTATGGATAATGGGAATAAGGATTAAGACATGGAGAAGGATTATATACTTATGCTAATAAAGATGTCTATTCAGGATAATGGTCTTAAGGTAAAAAAAATGGATAAGGAACTTATGTTTTTAATGATACTGCCATGAGAGTATTTTTTATTATTTATATCTAATAGTTTAGAGGTACTTGGAATGATAATCAAATTGTTGATGGAGAATGGATCTATCCTAATGGAATTGTCTATAGAGGACCATTTTAACATAATAAACCTAATGGAGTTGGCAAATTTGAATTTCCTAATAAAAATTAAGTTGAAGGCTATTACACTTAAACTATTGTTCCTAATGCTAATCCTGATGACACTACATTAAATATATAATTAGAATGGGTTACAACAAAACATTATTGATGATTTATACATAATCAAAAATTATTTTATTATTATTATTATTATCTAAGTTTTGCTTTTCTTTTTAAACTTGGTATTAAATCAATCCTTTATTTATTATTAACTAATTATTTCTTTTGATTCTATTAATTTTATTCTTATTTTTTGTTTATTTCTTATCCTATATTCTCTTTTTCTTATTCATATTTATCATAATGATCATTTAATTTTAATTTCATTTCTTCTAAATCTTAATTCTTTTTAAAAGAAGGACTTTCTGTTGTTCTTAAAATCTTCTTTTATTCCTTATTAAATGTTCCAAATTCAAAATTATATTATTATTTATCTGGTGTATTCTTTAATTAATCTATTTTAATCTAATTAAATCTTCTTAAAATATCAATCATCATTTTTATTAATTATTATATTAGCAACTAGAAATTCTATTGAACAATATCTATTTCAATTGTCTTAATACTTCCACAATAATTTTAAAATAATCCACTCAACTTTTCATGACTATTACAAACTTCAAATAATTCTTTATAATTTTAAAGCATTTAATCCTAGCTTTATTCTAAAAAATGAATACTTATTTCTACAATTAAATCCTATTGATAATGCTACTTCATCTTCACTACTACTTGATGATGAACTCAATCTTATCTTCTTTTTACTGCTTTTATTCTTAACGATCATTTTATTATTATTTACTTTCACTGATTACACTTTATATTGAATACTCTATATATCCTATTAAATCTATGTTAATTATTATCTTATATTTAAATCTTCTAAATTCTTTCTTTTATGTATATGTTACCTATACAAATTATTTATATTATTTTACATCTACATTTAAAATAATCCATTTTAAAATTCTAAATTCTACATCTTCTTAAATAAATCCTTCTCATTATTGCATGATCTTCCAGTATCATTATCTTCTGTTACAAATTGTTTAATAACTGCACCTTTTGTCTATTATTATTTTAATCTTTCTATACTCTAGATGTACTTAAATTTCCTATCTCTGTTTTTATTTATCCATCTTCTTGTTTTAATTAAGTATTTGTATATGAAACATCTTTCAATCTCAACTAATGGAACTTCATTTATATTAAATTTGAAAATAAAACAATTAAATTTTAATGCCACCTAAGAAGGATAATAAAAAAGAAGTAAAAATTACATCTATTTCACATATAGTTAGTTTTATCAGAAGATGATGGTACTGGTATCCTAAAAAATATTGTACAATTCAAAATACAATTTCAAGTGGTTACATAAAATATCTAAAACATTGTAATCATGTATGAATGGTTAAATGCAAATTCAACAGAAAGATATGATACTGGTTTAATTGATTAATGGAATGTTGTTTCAAATGAACCTCAATAGAATCCTGATGATCCACCAATTATTACATATTCTTTAGAAAGAGTTTTTGATTAAATAAGATTTATTGATTCTTTAGCTGAAGTGTTATCGAAAAAAAAATTATTCATGTATTTTATTAATGCAGATGATATGAAAGTTCTACAAGAATTTTAATTTGATTATAGTTTGATGCTCAATACTCCAAGTGTATAAAATTAATCCTTATTTAGTTCGAATTTACTTACTCTAAATTAAAAATAATGGAAATTTTGGATTTTAAATTCAATATATAAAGTGATAAGCCATTATTACATGAATAATTAAGAGCTAAATTAAATCCATTTTAAGTTGAAATTGTATCATGTGAAAATATTCCTATTTAAGCATAAAAATCATATGAATTATGCTATGTCTAATATGAATTTTATGATGGTACTATTATAAAAACTGATATGTAAGTATAAATGTAAAATATGTACTTTAATTCTTAACATATATTTTTATTGGGTACAATGGATGTTATAAAGTATTTTGAAACAAAACCATTAAAGTTTGAATTACATGATAAAGATGAAATAGTCAGAAATGATGTAAAAGAAGAATTATAATTATTTGATATAGAAAAATGGTTATAAATAGAAGAAGAAAAAAATAAACCACCTGAACCTGATTTTACATTAGATCCAAAGACAGGTAAGAAAATACCAAAAAAAGAATAAAAAAAAGAAGATAAAAAAGAAGTTAAGAAAGAAGTTAAGAAAGATGCTAAAAAAGATAATAAAAAGAAAGAAGTAAAATTAGGAGAACCAATATTAGAAGAATAACCTAAAAAATAATATAATAGAAATAATCATGGTGTAGCAATAATGAATTTAAGTGCATTTATTCATTCAAATGTTAAAGAAGTAGATTTATTATCTGGAATTGTTCCAAGAAGAGTTTTCGAAGATACTGAATCTAATAATTTAGATTTAAATACAACAGCTAGAAAAAACATTCCAAAAGTATTTACAGCTACAAATTATTTGGATTAATAGGCTACTATGTATGTTAAATTTGAGATGTCAAATGCATTAATTAAAAAATGATATAATAAATATTATTATTAATTATGAATTATCACTTAAAAATATCGGAACATTCCGAATCTGTTTAAGATATTTATTATCTTTATTAATAGAATTATTTTTATAAAGTTTCTTCTTCTGACAAATGGGATTTAAATGTTGATAATTATGATTACAATCTAAATTAATAATATTAATAATAATATTTACGTTTAAATTTCATCCATCTTTGTCAATAGAATTTATTCTAGTCCTTTTACATATTCATCCACATCTGAACCAGGTTTATCTATATTATGCAATAACATCATTTCCTAAATATATGAATTTAAATTTACTTATTTAACTAATTCAACCATTTAATCTATGTGAGATCTATGACTTGAAATTAGATTTTCTTCCTCCTCCAAAATTACACTAATTAATTACTCATGTTTTTATCCTATTTTCATTAAATCATCTTCCATAGATTAATTTATTTCTATATAATTATTTCATATATTTATACTTGTCTTTCTTTCAATTTGTCCTGGAAATAGATTTTCATTCATATAAGGTTTTGGATCTTAAAGTTAAGGAGATGGCTTATTTTATGATTATTTACTTTTAGAATCATTAATCTTCAATTATGGTTATTATTATTATTATAAGGGAATAATTGGCTGAGGTTATGGAGGAGGTGGTTAAATATAATTTTAATATGTATAAGTAGGTTATTAGGGTTATTATGATATTATCATTCCAGGTACAGAATTTTATAAATTTAAAAATTATGGTTGCTGAAATAGATTCTAGTTTTAATAATTTTATAAAGGATTATTTTTAAATGGATTGAATTATGGTTATTATTATTATTATTATAATGATTATGGAATTATAGGTTATTTCTACATTTTTATTGGTTATTATTATCTTGGTAACATCAACTCTCTTGCTAATTTATCTAATGAAGTAACTTAATCTTTTAATTCTTTATCATTAGGTTTTTTAAGTTCCTTTACTCTATCAGCATATCGTAAAGTATTTAGAGTATGTTCAGAAGATGAATTAGATGGTGAAAAGTTTCCAATCATTACAGTTTTACAATTTCCAATAAAGGAGTCTTTTAAAACTAAAGTTAATTTAGATCCTCTAAATGGAGTGTGATTTTTATTTAAATCTAAAGCTCTTATACATTCTTTTAATGCTAATAATGATTTATTAATTTCAGCTCCATCAAATCTTGTTTATTTATTTGTATCACTTACATCTGCTCCTCTTTCACTTCCTGCTAAATCTATAAATGATAATTTTCCATGAGATCTCGATCCATCTTTTAATGCTATTTATAAAATTGCATGAGATCGAGAAGAATCACTATTAGATGAGTTAGATGCTGTAATTCTTGATGCACTACCTTATTCAATTACTTTCATAAGTTATTCTACAGATTGTACTTTTCTTTCTTGCAAACCAACGATATTCACATTCCCTTTCGCATCTTCTCGTGCTTAAAGTAGAGATCTATCATTTAAAAGATCAAATAATTTTCCACAATAAATTTCATAAAATGAGATTGCTATTTGAAGATGGCCATAACATTCATTATTGAGTAAACAAAATATGTCATAAGCAGCCAATAAATATAACCCTGGCACTCTATCTTGATAATCACCTAACATGGTGTAAGTTTTGCCAGATCCTGTTTATCCATAAGCAAAACATGTTACTTTGGCCTTATTAAATGCTGCTTCAACTATGGGACGGACAATTTACAAATATAATTGTTCATTAGTGGTATTTTCATCAAAGGCTGCATCAAAATTAAATTAATGCTCTTCAATATATTTAGTAAGATCAACTTTGGTTCTAAAATGTGTAATGAATATTTAAGGAATACCTTTATTCTTTGACAATGACTTAACTTTATTAATTAGAGACATCAACAATATCAATATCACCTTTATTGATTTCTTTCTTATTTAATGGTCTTTTACGAACTGCCACTATGATTTTAGGTTCACCTTGTTCAATTAACATTTTAAATTTTACTTTTTTTTTGAATTTAATTTGTTATTTTTAGTTCGTTATCACTACAACATTAATATATATGTAATCTAATCCAAAAATTACTCCCAATAATCCTTTTTACACAGGCACTTATCCATAAACCATCTTAATAAAGGATAGATAACAACCTACTAAAACCCGATACGATAGGTAATCCCAACCCATCATTAGAGGCAAAGGTAAACATGTAGTTACTTTTAAACCTGATATTCACAAAATCTATTCTGTTGAAAATTGGAAAATATATAACATGGAGAATGATAACTAACCTAATGATAACAAATGTTGCTTTATACTCTGACTATAATTTATTAATATATATATATATAGTTATATTTCTCATCTTAACTTTGATTTCAATTTAGCTTGATAATCTAAATTCTCTTTTTATACTTTTTCTAATTATTATGATTTCTCCAAAACCTTCTATCTCAATCGTTCTACTTCTCTCTCCTATAGTTCAAACTTACTCATTAACTCATTCATTGTTATACTATTTATTTTAGCTTCTTCAGCATATTTCTGTAACTGTTTATGTTAACCAGCCAAACTTCGATAACTATCCGTTTATCTAGACAAATCATTTATCAAACTCTCATTCTACTATTTTAATATATTTATTTCTCCTTCTTTTGTTTATAATTATTCCATTATTTCTTCTTAATTTTTATTTTTTCCATTCATACTCATCAAATCTTTCAACTGAACCTATAATTTATATATTTGATCATCCTTTTATTTTATTATATTGTTCAATCTACTGCATTCTTCTCCTAACATATTTGTTTTGCATTCCAATTCTCGAAAATTCTTACCAAAATATTACTTTTATTCTTAATGCTAATTTTCTAATTTTTAATTCATCAATTTCATTTATTAGTTTTATTCTTTATATCCCAATAATTCTTATTCCAAAAACTCTATTAATAGTTATTTTTATTTATGTATATCATTCACTTCCAATTCATGGTTCTTTTCTTCATTCTCTAAATTTGTCTCTAATCTCTTTATTAAACTTTGTTCTCTTTACTACTACTATTATAATAAACAAATTTATTCCTATGATTTACCATACATACCAGTCAACTCATTTATTTTAGATTATAATTATTCTTTATGTTAACAATAAGTCTATTACAAATGTTCAAAATCACTTTCGACTTATTTTAACTTATTTGTAAGTGTATTTTCTATTGACTTCTTTTAATCTGCTCTCTCTTTTACTTTTTCTAATTCATTACTTAATCCTTAATTTTATTCTCTTTAACAACCCAACTTACTTTTCAATTCTAAAACATGTTACTCCTATGAAGTTATAATTGCTTATTATTTTAGTAATGTAAACTCTTGATCTTTTGATTAACAATCAAATTATTGAATTGCTTATGATAGCTTCTCTTCTAAAACATTATTACTTTTTTTTAAATTTATTAATTGTCTTTCCTAACTTATTAAATTAATTTATTTACCATAACTTCAACTAAATTTTAATTCTTATTATCAGAATTAGATATTTATGTTAAATTTTATTTAAGAAGTGAAATCTCTTATTTGGCTTAAAGTTATTCTTATTTAAGTGTTTATCTATGTTTTGATTCCAATTATTCCATCTAAAATTTCATAGTCGCAACCTCTTGTTTCCAACTCAAATCCATAGATCTAACAGTTTCATTGTGAGTTTTTTCTTACAACTCATATTTTTATTTATGGTAATCAACTTGATTCTATTTAATTTAATAATATTTTATACTTTCAGATCTTGATTTTCAATAGCTATTTTTGGATCTTATTAAATAATAAATTAAGGTTCTAGTGCTTTAACCTTTAATTATTAATTTTCTAACTATAATCTATCAATTTCCTTAATAAAAGTTTCTAAATCTTAAATTTAATTATTGTTTTTATTATTGTTAACAATAGTTGTCTAAGATTATGTTTTGTGTTATGAATATGTTAGTTATTATTACTATTATTATTACTACTATTATTACTATTATTATTATTATTACTATTATTATTATTATTATTACTACTATTATTAGTATTATTACTATTATTATTATTATTACTACTATTACTATTATTATTACTATTATTATTATTATTACTACTATTACTATTATTATTATTACTACTATTATTATTATTATTACTATTATTATTGTTACTATGAATGTAATTACTACTATTGCTATTATTATTATTATGATTAAGAATATTAATTTAATGTATTAGGTTTAATAAATGAATATGATTTGAGTTCTTATTTGTAATCTATTTTATTTTCTCTTTTATCAATAGAGTTATATTATGATAAGGGTTATCTTAGTGTTGTATTCATGTGATTATTAATTAACGGATAAAAATAATTATAAATTTTAATGTGAAATAATCATTATAAAGTTAATTAGGGCTCATTCATTTCCTTTTAACTAGAAAATAGTAAATAAATAGAATTACGTCCACTTATTTCCACAAATAGGATTATTTTTATTTGCACAAATGTATTGAATAATGATTTCCTTTTCATTCTTATCAGTTTTAAGAAAATAGATAGCTTCATCATAATTGCATCTAAATAGGATGTTATTAATTACTTATTACAAATTACTCTTTTTCTAGGCATTGATGGATCAAGTATAAGTGTATTATCTGTGATATCAATAGCTTTTGCTGCCTAATAATCTTTTTTGAGTAAGAGAGCTTCTTTATTGAATGACTTATCAATTTTGACTTCAATAATTCCATTGTCTCCACATTCTTAATTTCTGCATTTAAATTGTAATATTTCAATGTTATCTCCATCATGATATGGTTTAAGAAGATTCTTACATTTGGGACAGAATCTCCAGCCATTGTAATTTTTGACTTCCATAAATTTTAGTTAAAATAATTAATGGATTTATTAGAAGACCCAAAAGGAGATAGATAAGTTAATAAAATACCTACACCACCACATAAACCTTTAAGTTAAGAGTTATTGTTTATAGATGAAAAACCAAACTGGAAATTACTAAAAGATCACCTTTTTAAAGAGGGAAGAATAACTAAAAACTAGATTATGAAAATAGTTGAAATGTGCAATTATTATCTAAAAAATGAAGGTAATGTAATTTATGTAGATGATCCTCTAACTGTAGTTGGAGATATTCATGGATAATATTATGATTTAATGAAAGTATTACAAATGGGAGGTGATCCAGATCAAGGCAAATATGTATGAAAATTTCAATATTTACATGTTTTTTTAGGTGATTATGTAGACAGAGGATCCTTTTCAATAGAAGTAGTTGTGTTATTATATGCAATGAAGATCTATTATCCTACTAGAGTATTTCTACTTAGAGGAAATCATGAATGTAAATAATTAACAAGCTACTTCAATTTTAGAGATGAATGTCTCTACAAATATGACCAAGAAGTATATGAAACTATAATGTCATCTTTTGATAACATGCCTTTAGTTGCCTTAATAAATAATAAATTTTTATGTTTACATGGAGGCATATCTCCTGATTTAAAATCAGTATAGAAAGAATCTTATGCATTTAGTTAGCTGATGTTGAAAGAATAGATAGGTTTAGAGAACCACCAAAAGCAGGACTTTTTTGTGATATTTTATGGGCTGACCCAGTTGAAAATGATGAACTTTATGATGATATTCATTATAGAGGTAATGATACTAGAGGTTGTAGTTGGTTTTTTGGTGAAAAAGCAGTCTAACCACTATTAGATAACAATAAGTTCATTTGTTTAATTAGAGCTCATGAAGCTTAATTAGAAGGATATAGATTATATAAATACAATGAAAAAATGAAAGAATTTCCTCAAGTGTTAACGATATTTAGTGCTCCTAATTATTGTGATGTCTATAACAATAAAGCAGCTATTTTAAAATTCGAAAATTGCACTCTTAATATTTCTCAATTTAATTATTCTTAACATCCTTATTTACTTCCTCATTTTTTAGATATTTTTTCATGGTCTATACCATTTGTAACAGAAAAGGTAACTGAGATGCTTAATTATATATTATAACCAAGACCTGGTGAGAAATTAGATGATTCAGATGATGAAAAACCAAATAATTAAGGAGTAATAAAATAACCTATGAATCAATCATAAGTTAGTAGTCGTCCCTTAGGGAAATTATAATAAATAACATAAAAATAAATTGATATAACAAAATCAAAAATCTCTTTTGTTTCTAAAATGATGAAAATGTAAACAGTATTAAGGTAAGAAAGAGAAAACATCATAAAATTAAAAGGATTATGTCCTGACAAACGTATTCCTAGAGGAGTGTTATTATAGGGAGCAGAAGGAATAAAAGATGCACTTGAACATTTCAATACAACTAGAGCTGCTGATAGAATCAATGAGAAATGGCCAGAAAGTTAATGATTTATTTACATTATATTTAATAATGAATGAAAAAACTGTTGACAAATATAAACTCTTAACGACAGATCTTTTAGGAGTAGGATCATTTGCTAAAGTATACAAAGGAATTGATACTACCAATAATAGATAAGTTGCAATTAAAATGCTTCCAAAATACAATATTCTAAATGACAAATATTTGATGGAAGGATTAAGAAGAGAATTATCAGTAATGCAAAAACTAAGAGGAAATAATGTAGTTCGTTTATTAGATACTCTTGAATCACAAAATAATTATTATATAGTTTAAGAATTCTGTAAGGATGGAGATCTAGGAACTTATCTTAAAAAATAATAATATCTAACTGAAGTTGGAGCTATTCGTATATTAACAGATATCTTAAATGGTTTCATTGAATTATTATAATAAGGAATTATTCATAGAGATTTGAAACCTGCTAATATTCTTGTTCATCAAAATACTTTTAAATTAGGAGGTATTTTTATTAATTTATTAGATTTCGGATTTGCTAAGTGTATATCAAATTTCTAAAGAGATGTTATGGAATCTGTTGTTGGAACTCCACTTTATATGGCACCATAAATATTAATGAGAGAAACATATACTAGTAAATGTGATATATGGTCTATTGGATGCATTTTCTATGAATGTATTTTTAGGAGAACTCCATGGATTGCTAATAGTGTACCTTAATTACTCAATACTATTTTGAAATATCCTGTCTAATTTCCTTCTTATATATCAATGGAAGCTAAAGATTTTATATTGAAATGTCTTGAAATTGAAGAAGATAAACGAATGGGATGGAATGATCTATATAGACATCCATTAATATATTAAAAGTTCAAGGATCATGTTGATAAAGTCATTAATATGGAAGCTTAGGCAGAATTCATTATTAATGAATTAAGATAGATGATAGTTGTTAAATAAATTGACTTGCTTGAAACATTTAAAAAACTTTAAATTTAAGATAATTAATTCTTAACTTTTAAAGAATTGTAAATGTTATTAAATGAAATCGATCCTAAACTCAATCGTCAATAAATAGAATTTGTTTTTAATATGATTGATGTAGACAAAACTAACTTAATTAATTTCCTAGAATTTTAAAGATGTTTACAATAGCATAAAGTTAGAATAAGTCTACAAGAAATTAAACCTGATATTATTTATGAAAATAGTCCATTATTATAAACACCAAAATGGAAATAGGAGTTTAAAAAAATTAAAGATAAAATAGAAGAGGAAGATAAAAGCTTAGTTAAGCTATTCAGATAATATGATTCTGATTGCAATTAAGTACTCGATCTAGTTGAATTTGTCAAGTTTCTCAGGTAACCTTTTTTTATTATATAATTATTAGATTTTTTAATTCGAAAATTAGTAATGAAGATGCTAGTTTGATATTCCAACATTTTGATAAAAATTGCAATGGAGGAATTGATTTTTTAGAATTTAAGTAAACTTTCGAATCTTAAATATGATGCAATTTTAAAATAGGATAATAATTTAAACTTTAATATAATTATTTTTAAATTATATTTATTTCAATGTTCATCTATATATTATAAAGATGTTTTGCTATCAAAATTTCGAATCTCTGTTTTTTCTCTGCTTTAGGATAGATGTTATTATGTTTAAAAGTTAATTATTTAAGTACTATAAAGCATCGGATTCCTTATATCATCTGCACTTAAAAATGATTGCATTTCATCTTCATTTTTTTAATAGACACTATCAAGCATAACATTTTATACTTCAGAATTTTTAGAAATAACTTCTTAAACATTATTATTAATTGGATCATTTTCCTCTTTTTTTTAAAAGTTACTTTTTTTTTTTTATCTTTATTTTCGTACCAATTAAAAAATTCTTCTTAAGTAATTTTTATTAATAATTTTCTGCTCTTCATTATCAAACTTTAACTATTTTATTTCTTAATAAAGTTTCGTAATCTATACTTATAAAGCCTTTTAGCTTTCAGAATAATCCTTAATTTATTTTTATAACAATTCAATTACTTTTTAAGCTGTCTAATTTAAGTTTGAAGTTATTTTATCATATTATATATTATCTTAAGTATTTACCAATTCAGTATGTTACCTTTTTAATTATTCTTTTTATTAATTTTCCTTAATTTCAATAATTTTCTTCGTTAATGATATTTTTCTTAAAGATTCTTAATGATATTTTAATTTATCTTAAAAAATGTCTTGAGCATATCTTTATTCTTAAGGGTTTTTTTCAGAAAATTTAAGTAATTTTTTGAATTCTAAATCTTAAAATGATTTTATTTTTGGTAAATTAACAGAACCACCAATCTTATTATTTACATCAATCCCTATTTTTGTACCTTAAATGGGCAAATTTATTATTTTAGATTAATTTTAAATATCATCAATAAAATTGTTTACTTATTTTATTTTTTTAGAAATTTCTTCAATAAATGTAGATTAATGTAACTTAGCTGGTATCTCTTAAATCTTTTAAGTATGTTCCTGTAAAAATTTGTCAACTTTTTTATGATATAGTTCAATTGACTACAATTAAGCTTCAAATTTATCTGTCATCATTTAATCATCAATATTTGATATATTACGTTAAAACACTTTAATTAAAAAATTTTAATTCTTTGTTTTATAAATTTTTTCTTTATTTTTGATTGAGACTATGTTGAATATATCTTGCTAATCTAATATCAGTCTAAGGACATTTGCTTATCTAAAATGTTTTATTTAATGAAACTCTAAATCGAAATAACTTGTATATAAATTAAAATCTTCTTCTGAATAATATTCAACCTTAAAACTTATTTTTTTCTCATTCTAATCTAATCTTATTATATTTGATCTTGAGTTTTTAGTGTTATTTTTAAAATTTATTAATTTTTAATCTTCTTTATTTTGAAGGAAAAAAAAAATATTTTTTGAAAATGAGGGATCCTAAAAATTTAATTCTATTTGAACATTTTACTTGTCCCATATGTCTCTTTGTATGAAATCGATTTCCTTAATTGAAAGAATTTACTATTACTGTCTTATCCTTGCATTTTCTTAATTAATGTATTTATATAATATTTCCTTAGATGTTGTTGTTATTTCAAAATAAAATACATTACATTCTATTTTATTTGGTTTAACTTTATGTATCCACTTACTTTTTATGTTATCTTTCCAAATTAGTCTGTATTAGTCGATTCCATTATAATCATTTATTTCTAATTAGAATTTTACTGTTGTCATTTTTAATTAAATATTTAAAATTTATTAAGTATTAATAATTTAAATTTTTTGGCAATATAAATAAAGAGAAAATTGATCTCATGATTATTTTTAAATTATTAGTTGTTCATTTCTATTTCTTATCTTCATACACTTTTTCCTATATTTTAAATAGAGTATTCACATGCTGATTACGAAATTGTAAATTTTCTTTTTTGATTTTAGTATTTTCTATATCTAAAATTTTTAAATTTATTATATTTTATTTTAATTAACATTTCCTTCTTATAAATTTTGAATCTAATCTTTAAATTACTGATAATTATAGTTGATTGAATTAATGATGTCACAAATTTTAATTATTTCTAACATCAATCAATAAAACTTTAAATCCAACAAATACAAGATTAAACTTTTCTGGTTTCCTTCCAATCAATTTTCATTTTCTTAAGTAATGTTTCTGATGAAATAACTTTACTTTTATTTAACAAAATTATTTGCTATATGATAAAATAATACTTTCTGTTTATTTTACAGAAAATTTCAAATAAAATATCAATGTGTTTCCAAAAAATGAAGCACTGAATTATGGGTAAATACATTGTTCATAATAATGAAAATAATCCTTAGCAATTATCAAACGTTATATTTTGTATATTAGAAATATTATATATATTATAAATAGATGGCAGTAAAAGAGATTCTTAAATAATGTAGTATGATGAACATCGAATAAATATTGATAATGATTATCATTGATTTAGTTTTTTTTATTTAATTTTTTTAATTTTCAATAATCCAAAAGATTCTTGATTAAATTATAGGTTTTGGCATCATTTTGAATTATTTTATTCATAGTTTTAAAGTTTTTTTAAATCTGAAAGCCTTATATAAAGTTTTTAGAGATTAATCTTTTAATTTTATGGTTTAATAAAGATGGAATAAATTCTTGGTTTAATTGATTAGTTAGTTTTATATATTTGCTTATTTATTGATTAGTTTTTAATGGTATAATGAGATTCGTTTTTAATTAATAAATAATATGAAAATCTTAGTGCTTTGTTTAATAGCATTGGCAATAGCAGACAAATTTGATTAATTTAGAGCATTTGATGAAGATGAATTTGGAAGAACATTGATTGATACATTATAAATGCAAATGAGTACAGGTGAACCAATAGCTCGTTTTATTGAAATAATGAGAAATCTTGAAACATCAATTGAGAATGAATAGAAAGAAGATGATAAAGCTAATAATGAATATTAAAATTAATGCACAGAAGATATAAAAGTTTTATAATAAGAAAGTGCTAATTTAGAGAGAAGAACAGTTGAAATATAATCAATTTTAGATGAATTAGAGCCATTAAGATCATATAAATAAGGTTAAGCAGATGCTAAGAATGCATGGAAAGTAGAAATAGAGAAGAAATTAGCTGATTTAGTAAAGAAGAGAGAAACAGAGAAAGCTGAATTTGATAAGAAAGTTGAAGAACATGATTATGCAACATTTGTAATTGAAACAGTTAGAAGAATGTTTTCAGATAAAAGTTAAAGTTTCTTATAATTAAATAATGAATCATAATGGTCAAAGGTAAGAGATTACTTTATAAATGCATCTGAATAAGCAAGTATTTATATAAATATTAATAAACATAGAGAAATTTGAAATTAAAAAGAGTTATTCTAAAATATTTAATGTTTTAGCTGAAATAGCAAATTCTGCATAAGCTGAAGATTTCTAAAATTCACCTACAGTTAATAGAATAGTGAATTTATGTGATCTTATGTTAAAATAAATAGAAGATAGCAAAGCATTAGAAACAAAAGCTGAATAAAAGAGATTGAATATGTTTATGTTAGAAAAGGGTAATTTTGATAAAGATTTAACCAGTTTAAATAATGCATTGGCTTAATTAACAGCTGCTATATTAAGTTTAGACAATAGAATCTAAGATTAAAAGAGAGATTTATCTGATTATAATGCTAGATTGGCTGCTAAAAATAAATAAAGTGAAGATCGAGGAGGTGAATGTAGAGAAAAAGCATATAATTATTAATTAACAAGAGAAAAGAGGTAATTTATATATATATATTTATATTAATAGAGAATAAAAAAGATAATTAGTCTCTTAAATCATTGGTGCTTTCTCTGCTAATTAAAGAGACTTTGCAGAATATGTTAAATTAAGAGGATAGGCTGGTGATTTCAGAGGTAAAAATTTCTAAATTCTTGGCAATCCTACAGAAGATTGAATATGAATTGTTATTCATACAAATAAATATAATTATATATATATTGGGTTTAAATTATTAAAAGTTCCAGAATTTCTAAAATTTTTGTAAAGTAATAAATTCTGCTTTGATTTGATGTTTTATTTATGATTTAAACATGAAAAATCATTATCATACATTAGGATTGTAAAGAGATGCCGAATAGTAACAAATTAAAGAAGCTTATCATAAATTGGCATTAGAATGTCATCCAGTATTATAATATTATTTAAACTAAGTTAGGATAAGAATACAAATAATAGAACATAAGCTATTGTCTAATTTTAACAGATTAGTGAAGCTTATAGCACATTATCTAAATAAGATTCAAAAAAAATATATGATTATAATCTTGATAGAAGAGAAATTATAAGAAATTTAAATAAAAGATAATAAGAGTAAGATTAGAAATTATATAATGAATTATCAAAAGAATTTCATTTATCTGATACTTATTTAACCAAAGATGAATAAGATACTATAAACAAGTTTATGACTAGAATGGATAAGTAAAGTAAACGGATCAAAAAAAAATAATGAATTTTATTACAATCATTAATTGTTGCTTTATTATTTTTATAATTTTATAATGACTATTTCTCTTAAATTATATAATCACAGATTTTAATAAATTGTTTCATGGTAAATTTGATAAAACTGTGATAGAAAAAAATGATAATTAATGATGATTTACTAAAAGAATTAAATTTATAAAATTTACAATCAAAAAGAGTAGAATAGAATGATTCAACTAAAAATAAAATTGAAAATACAAATGCATAATCTCCATATATTAAATGTATTGTCCTTATCTTAGGTACCTTATTGATGTTTGGAAATAACTATTCTTTTGAAATCCTCAAGCTTTATAGAGTGAATTAATTGAACAATTAGAAATTACAATTTCCTAATTTAATTTATTGTATTCAGCATTTGCATTTCCAAATATCTTCTTAACTTTAATCGGAGGAGTCATAACTGACATATTAGTTATAATATTAGATTTATTTTAGGAGTGAGAGTGGCAATAATAGGATTTAGTTTAATTATTGTGATTGCGTAACTCATTATATCATTTGGTGGTTTATTTCAAAATTATTTGATAATGTTAAATTGGTAGGATTATCTTTGGAACAGCTTCAGAAAATCTATTAATAGCATAAACTACAATCATAGGAAGATGGTTTAGAGGAAAAGAACTTTCTACTGCTATTGGATATGTTATGGCAATCCCTGAATTTGCATGTGGAATGAACTCTTTTATTACTCCTATCATATACAATTCGTTTGGTCATTTATCTTATCCCTTATTCTTTAGTACTATCCTATGTTTGTTATCATTTATTTGTGTACTTATTTTATGTACTATCCTATGTTTGTTATCATTTATTTGTGTACTTATTTTATGATTTTAGATAAACAAAATGATAAAAAATAAATGGGTAATATTATTAATCAACATTATTTACATAGACTTATAGAACGATAGCCATAAAAATCATTAGTAAATAATTAAGCTTTCCTTTAATGATATTAAAAAATTTTAATCTAACCTTTTGGACATTACCATTATATGTTCTTTATAAGTAGGGTTTTACACATCCTTTTTAGATAATGCTAATGATTTTTTA